CAGCAGGTGCTGGGGAGGGAGCTGGAAGTGCATCCACATCCCAGCATCTCCCAATTAGGAGCTGTTTGGTGTCACCACCCAGCTACAGGGACAGTGGCAGGGATGAGGCTTTGGGGTCGGCCCAAGGACAGGCTGCAATTGAGGTCCCCATCTGGGAATGGGGGCACCTCCCTGCACAGCTCCAGGGCAGGTTTCTGTGGGGGACACCTCTGGAGAGGGCCTTATCCTGCACCAGCTGGATGGGATCCATCCAATGGTGGTAGGTTGGGCTTTCCCAGTCCCTAAGGGGATTGGGGCTGGGAGCAGGCAGGGAAGTGCTGGGTGCAGGCAGCTGCCTGCCCCTTCTGCCAGCCCGCCACGCGCCCTCCAAATCCTGCTCTCCCCGGCCTGGCAGGTCTTTCCAGTACAGATAGGAAGAGTTTGTGTCATTTTTCCGGAAGGTGATGAGACCTTGTCTGGGACAGCCAGCACCGCTCCAGGCTGGGACCAGCCTGGGTGGGGCCATGTATCTGTGTGGGCAAAGCCACAGCTGGATCCCCAGGACCACAGCTGGATCTCCAGGGTCATGGCATTCACCAGTGGAAGAGGGATTGGGTGCACTGGCAGTGGAGAGGAACATCTGCCATGCCCGTGGCCCCAGGATGGCACCGGGACAGCGACACCGTCTCTGTGCAGCACCAGGGTGCTGGGGGAAGGCAGGAGCTGCTGACTCAGCATCCTGCCTCTCACCTGGAGCTGGATTTCCAAAGATTTCCAGGTCTGTCTTTCCCAAGAACTCCAGGTCTGTCATTCCCATCCCAGCCCTGCACCTGGTGCCACCCTGGGCCACTCGATGTCCCACGGGCCCTGGGAAAGGAGGTCACCCAGAGCCCTGCTCTGCCCCAGCACCCCATTTTCTGCTAAAATAATTCTTACTGCAGTAATGGGTCAAGGTCACAGGGACATGAGGACAGGAGGGCAGAAGGACACGAGGACAAGACCCTGTGCTTTCCCAGCTGCTCCTGCTGGCCATCCCTGCCCGCCCAGACATGCCACGCTGGATCCAGTGGTGTTGCCACACCGGGGCACCTGGCACGGCTAATTAATCCCCCCTGGCCAAGCCAAGCCAACCTGCTGAGCTCGTTTGCTGCCTCCTGTCATCCCAAAGGGTCTCCCAGCACCCGTCCCAGATCTCCCAGCACCCAAGTCAAAGGCACGAGGTGCCGTTTAACATTCAGAAGAGACGGGGGGGGGCACTGAGGGCGGCAGCTGCTGCTGCCTTTGAGCCGGTGACCGTGGATTAAGCCGAGCCTCCGGCCACGTTGGGCTGAGCCCTGTCACCGCGGGCTGAGAGCGGACCTGCCGCCTTCAGGAGAATCAGGGATACGGGTTGGGAGGCTGCTGCACGGGCTGAGGTTCACGGGGAGGGCAGGGAACCACCGTCTCCCCTCGCTGCCCCTGCCTCCCCCAGCTGAGCCGTGTCACGGGCAGCCGTGTGCCACATGGAGGAGGGGGACAGAGGTGACAGGGGAGCTCCGCTGTCCCCTCAGCCCAGGTCGTGAGGTCACCAGAGGCGGAGGAGCCCCAGCTCACCCCGTTGCCTCCTGGAACGCACTTTGGTGGCAGGAGCGGGATTACAACCCCGGCAGCCCCCCAGATTCAGGGACTAAAGGTGAGAGGAGCCGAGCTGGGCTCAGCCCCCTCCTCCCGGCCCCATCCCTCCTCCCTGGCCAGTGCTGATCCCGGCAGGG